AAAAAAAAAAAAAAAAAAAAATCCAATTTATACGCTAAAGCAGCCTCCGGAAGCATTGGTATAAAGTAATTTTTTTTTTTTTTTTTTTTTTAAGATGGGCTCTTGCTGTGTATTCCAGGCTGGCCTTGACCTCACTTTGCAGCCAAGGCTGGCCTTGATCTTTGGGTGATCCTCCTGCCTCAGCCTTCTGAATGCTGGGATGACAGGCATGTGCCACCACACCCCAGCTGGTGTCCCCTCAGTCAGTGAGCTGTTCCCTTCATCATGTTTGCTCTCAAGCCAGGGATAACATTTAGTTTATGGGAGCAGATCTTGTTTCTCCTTTTTGGTGATGAGGGTGGAAACTTGGGCTTTGCACGGGCTAAGCCTGGGCATTGCACCGCTGTGCTACACTCCGAGCCCCAATTCCTGCATCTGTGTGTGTGTGTGTGTGTGTGTGTGTGTGTGTGTGTTGCTGGGGGTGGAACCCAGGGCCTTGTGAATGCTATGCAAGGCCCGCCCTGCTGATCTGCACCCCAGCCTGACTTACAGTCACTTTTTCTGTTGCTGCGATGAAATACCCTGTACTACAACGTGCAGGAGGGGAGGAGTATTAGCTCACAGTTTGCAGAGGTTTCGATCCATAGTCAGCTGGCTCCGAGGCAGGTGCATTGCAGAGGGAAAGTCCATGGCAGGGCAGACAGGAAGCAGCCATCTCAAGGGTGGGGATGACAGACCTCTCCAGGCCATGCCCCCAGGGGCTCCCCTCCCACCAGGCTCCACCTCCCAGGCTCACAGCTCTTGTGAACTTGTCACAGGACTAATCCTCCCATGAGTTCCAGGCCCCCATGAACCAGTCACCTCCAAAGCCCCACCGGTGAGCCTAGAGCACATGAGGCTTTGGGGGACCTCTGGATATAAACTCTCTCCGAGCCCCAAATCAGATGTCTTGCTTAGGGTCCTGAGCTGGGTTCATGTAACCAGTCCCAGCGTCTGTGCACCGCTCAGGCCGCCTCCCCAAAACACGCGTGCAGACTAGGCCTTGCCTGCAGCGGCTGGCAGTGTCTGTGTGGTGAGAACAGCTGTCCACGCAGTGTGCTGGTCTTGAGAGTGGATCGCAGGTTCCCCGTGCTGTGACAGGAGAGAAAAATCCCCTGGCTGTGAACTCAGAGAGCTGAGGAGAGGAAGCTGGGCATGCCCAGTGGGGCCGGTGGGAGAGGCCAGGTTTGTGCCACAGGGAAATCGGAGTGTGCATTCCTTTGGAAAGGAGACTACAGGTTCCAGAACTGCAGAGCAGACAGAGAGAGATTGGGAATAAAATTCGTCAAGCGGAAGCCAAGCTTGGTGGTGCACGCCTGGAATCACAGGAGGATCGTTGTAAGTTCAAGGCCAGCCTGGGCTACATACTGAGACCCAGTCTCAAAGAATCAAAATCAGGGCCAGGGACATAGCTCAGTGGCACCATGCCTGCCTCGCAAGCACAAGGTCCAGAGTTTGATTCCCTGGTACAAAAAAAAAAGTAATGGTCAAAGACTAATGTCTTATAGAAAACTGTTCTGTGCCGCAAATATATTGCCATGTAACAAATTACCTAGAAGCTGTGGCCTAAAACTGTCACCCTTAGCATCTGCATTCCTCTGGGTGACAGGTGTGCTGGCCGAGGTCCCTGGGGAGGAGCAGCTGCCTGGGCTGGGCCAGCCAGGGGCCCCTCAACAGTGGGCGGTGCCAGATCCCCACAGCAAGGCAGGCACAGGGAGCCACCTGGGAGACTCCAGAGGCTCCCATCGTTCCACCCCAGCCCACTGCTCACTCAGGCCTGGCTAGTTCCACATGGGAGCGACCCCAAGAGCAGGGCCAGGGCAGGGTCCTTGGGGACCCGGGGACGCCACCTACCCCATGGTCCTTGCCTGTTCTTACCAGTATGCCAGGTAGAAAGGGGAGTCTTGCTGGCCTTTGTTGTTGTTTGACACAGGGCCTCTGAACTCACTGTGTAGCCCAAGCTGGCCTTGGACGCATGGTGATCCTCCTGCCTCAGCCTTCGGAGTGCTGAGATTACAGGCGGGCACCACCATGTTTGTAGGGAACAGGGAAAGGGGACATTACTAGAACCTCTGCAGTGAGTCCTAGTCTCCTGGGAGCCACGGCAGCACACGGCGAATTACAGGAAAGGTAGAAAAATGAGACTGAGAAGAAGCTGAGCTTTGGACCTGATCAGTGCTGCTCTGGGCGGCAAAGACGGCAGCCCCCACTTTACCGCCCTTTTTATTCAGTTCTCAGTACATCGGGAGAAACAAATGTAACAAATGACTTGCAGAGAGTTCAGTACATCCGGTAAACAAAATGTAACAGTCCAAGAACAAGGAGGAACTGAGTAGATGTTTGCTCCTCTCAGGATGTTCTCAGCTCCCAGGATGTTTCTTGTTCTGGAGAATCACAGCATCTCGGGATCATTGAGGTCTCAGTTGTGACCGGAGGCCAAAATGGAATTATGTCTCGGAATTCCATAGCTGGGCTGTAGGCAGGAGAACTAAGCTAACCAAATGATTTTACCCTAAAATTATGTAGCATTGCTCCCGACGCCTGTTGGCTATCGATCACCTTGGGGCAAGGGACTGAGTGGGAGAGGTCACCGTTGGGGCAGTGTGGGGCGTGGGTACGAAGTGGGACCCAAGGGCAGCGATGGAAATGTCTGGCTGGAGGACGCCCCTGCGGGTTCCTGGGCTCCGTGCGCCACTGTCCTTCCCCACTGCTCTGCAGGGCTTTGCCAGGCGCAGACCGATGACCGCGGCGACACAGGCGAGCTTGCCTATTCCGAGTCTGCGACCTGGCGCCTGTCCTCGCACGATGCCCTGAGCTGGATTTGTCCCTTTCCTTTTCCCAGGGGAAGGCAAGGAGGAGATCGCAAAGGTGACCTTTGAAGAGTTGCGGCACCAGGTGGCTTTGTTCGCCACCGCCATGCGGAAGATGGGCGTGCGGAAGGGGGACCGCGTGGTCGGTGAGCGCCCCCTGGGCTTGTGCTGGTTTGGGGACTAGACAGGGCAGGAGTGGCCGGAAGGCAGAGCTGTGACACAGCCGTGTGCCCTTGGGCTTCAGCTGTCCCTCGAGGAAGAAGTAGCCTAGGGAGCGGGGCAGACACAGGGCCCTGGTTCCCTGCTCTGCTTGTGCAAGGTCCAGGGGCCGGCGAGGGGGAAGAAGGGTCGCAGGGTGGGGGCGGCGGGGGGGGGGGTGTCCCAGAGGCCCTGCCCGTGTGTCCTGATGCCTGTTCCTTCTGACTGCTCATCTCCCTACCATGATGCTGGGGAGGAAGAAGCAGAGGACCCAGGAAGGTCGAGGTCTGCCGACCCTGAGCAGAAGCCTGAGGCCTGCATCCTCCTCCCTCCCTGAGCTGGCTGCCCCTTCCTTTGCCCCTGTAGTGACAAGGGGAATTCCCTGCCAAGAGCAACATGGGCGTGTTTCTTATTTTTTAAATTCTTTTAGTCTTTTCTTGAGACAGAGTCTTACTATGTAGGTCAGGCTGGCCTTGAACTTACTATGTAGTCTAGATTGATCTCAAATTCATGGTGATCCTCTTGCCTCAGCCTCCTGAGTGCTAGGGCAATTATGGGCATGAGCCACCACCTCTCCATCTGTCCTGGGCCTCCAGAGAGATCTGTATGGGGTGTCCAGGACTGGAGCCCAAGTTTGGTGGAGTTGGGGGTGCTGGCTCCTGGGACGTGAGTAGGCATGCTGCCTCAGTTTACCCGAACTCCTGGCTTTCTCCCTGTGCCCTGACAGGTTATCTGCCCAACAGCACACACGCTGTGGAGGCCATGCTGGCTGTGGCAAGCATTGGTGCCATCTGGAGCTCCACGTCCCCGGACTTCGGCGTGAACGTGAGTCAGAGCCGCGGTGTCCGTCCGGGTGGTGGCGGGGCTCCCGGGGAGCTTTGCGGTCACTGCCGCCTCTGTCCTCCCGACCAGGGCTGGAGAACCTGGAGAGGGAGACCGGGGTGCCCCTCTTCCTTCTTGGGTGCTGGGGATCGGCCCAGGCGCGGCCACTCAGCACACTGGACTCCCGGGCGGAGATCTGGAAGGGGCCTGGCTCATGCTTCCCCTCGAGGCTCTGTGGTCCCCACTGCACCTGGGTCAGTATGGCCCCGAGGCTGGCCTGGCCTGGACCTGCTGGCTGTGTCCACGGGTGTGGATGTGCTCCTGCACCCCCTCATCTGTGACACGGGGACAGTGGCAGGGCCAGGGATGGTGGGGTTTGTGCACTCGGAGCCGTGACTGCGGCTGGGGACCTGCAGGCAGCCCCAGACGCTGCTGGCGCTGTCCCAGCTCAGTGCAGCACAGCCACCGGCCTGGCATCCCGGTGGCTCAGGGGCTGAATCCAGAAGCTGTCTGCTCTGAGGCTTATTGTTGAGTAAAGCATTTTTTCCTTTTCTTTTTCTTTTTTGGTACTGGGGATTGAACTTGGGACCTTGCATTTGTGAGGCAGGCAGCAGAACCACTGAGCTAAATCCCTGGCCCTTCCCTTTTCTTTTGTTGTTTTGCAGTATTGGGGATTGAATCAGTGCTTTTGCAGTGAGCTATGTTCTCAGCCCTTTTTTCATTCTTCCTTTTGAGACAGGGCCTGATTAGGTTGCTAAATTGCCCACACTGGGCTTGAAGATCCTTCTGCTTCAGCCTACAGAAATTGGCCAGCAGCCTGGCAGAGTGAAGGGCTGCCCAGGGTCTACCCCACAGGGGTCTGTGGCCGGCAGGCTGGGTTGGCCCCGCTCCCTGTGGGTGGCTTCCTGGGGCCAGTGGTGTCCGTGGGAGGGTCCAGCATGGTGGGCTGGATGCTGTTTCGAGTCACAGGGAGCAAAGGAAGGGCTCATAGCATGGCTGGGCTGAGGGCTGCCTGCCGGGGTCTGTGGCGGTGGCCAGGGTCTGCTGGGGGCTGGGGCTTTGTCCCTGCTCAGCTACGGGAGCTGCTGCTAAGGAGCTGGGAGCTGGATACGTTTCCCCTCTGAGAACTGGGAGCTGCATGTGTCTTGGGGACCAACTGTGGCCCCCGACAGCACTGGCCCCAACTGGAGGCTTGGCTGGGAGCCCTGAGATTGGTCCTTGCTGGGCTCAGGGCCCGGGGGTGGGGGTGGAGGGCTGGGAAGGTGAGTGTCTGTTGGTGGTGGCATTGCT